CGAACCTTGACTGGGGCTCCGCCACAGGAAATCGGAACGATTAGCAAGTTTGAAAGGCATCTTGCGCCATCCTCGAGCAAAGATGAGCTGAGGAAACACCAAGAGCACGAAGCTCGCCGCAACACAATGGCAACCATGAGAGGGTCTTGAGCAACCATTACCAACCTGAGCTGCACGAGAACACCACCACCGTAGACGAAGAGCTCCAATCAACCGAGACCATCCATGGTGCCTCAAGGCTATTGGTGCAGCCGAAGGGCAATGAGCGACCGAGTCCACACCCGGACGAAGAGTCACACGCAGCCGAGGCTACAACACAACAGCGGCACCGCCGGCGAAGCCGAAGGGCATCAAGGAGCCGAGTCTACACCCGGATCGCTTCACCGTGCACACCAGCGCAAGCCGGCCGCACCACCACCACTCCACCACCACATCACACACCACCGTCGACCCCAGTCGGCCGCACAAACAGACCACCAGCCGCACCTCCTTCATCCACACACACCAACACTAGCCGAAGTTCGTGTCTCCAAGATGGCGCCTCCAAGAAGGGAATGATGCCAGAGACACCACCGCCACCCGATCAGGCAAGCCCGACCATAGGTTTTCACCCGGAAAACAACGAAACAGGAGGTTTGCGGCTGAAAAACAGCTCCACGGCGGCCCCTCCGCGAGGAAAACGACAGCCACAGCCGCCGTTGCCACCGGCGTCGACCAAGTCGACCCAGGATTTTGCATCCGGAGCGTGAGCAACCAACAAACCATGACGGCATCTTCAGGGCGTGTGCTGCCCGGATCTTGCGAGACCACATCGGCGCGCACCGGATCTGGGCAGAAATTAGTCTGCCCCACCGAGCACAGGAACAGCCAGGGTCACGCCTCCCCGAGCTGGAACAGTCGCTCGCCGGAGAAGCCGAGGGCCGCCGCAAGATGCAGCGGCGCACAGAGGCAGGCCGGATCGAGACAGCGCCGAAGGAAAGGAGCAGGCCAGCCCCCGACGCACCTGAGAAGGACGAGGTGGATCTGGGCGCCAGCGCCACCCCCGAGCGCCCCTCCACCACCTAGCAGACCATGGGCCGCGCTCGAGCAGCAGCACCTTCATGTCGACGATGAGGCAGGCCACCGGAGCCGGACGAGTCGAATCCGAGCGCCTTGCCAAATCCGCCGCCGCGGTCACCGAGGGAGGCACGGCCGTGACCAGGGCCATCCCACGACGCGAGCAAGGCCCCCGCCGCCGCCGTCGGCTGCAGCGGCTTCGCCCTGCAGCTTCCTCCAGCGGCGGCGGGAGAGGAGGGGTGGATCTCGCGGTGGGGGCGCTAGGTTTCTGGGTTCTGCCCGTGTCGCTCGCACGGGAGCGACGCGAGCGGCGACAGTGGTCGGGCTCATGCCATCGCTTGTTTCAGGTTTAGAACGTCTGTTTCCAAGATTATACGCCTGCACCCCATTTCTGATGCACACCAAATTGCATTAAGAGCTGCATGTGCTTCAGCTTGTAAGACATCACCCAGATTCTGTAAATGCCCTGCACCAGCAGCCAACACTTCTTCATTTTCATTCCTGATGACAATGCCCCATCCTCCTGAATTTGTGTCTTCCCGAAAAGCACCATCACAATTAATTTTCAAGAAGTTTGCAGGAGGTGGTTTCCAAACCTGGGCTTGTCGTTGGCAGAAACTTTTCCTTTTGTTCAACAGGTTCATGTACTCACCCACATGCTTCATTACTGAAAATTGGAGATCTTCAATGGTTCTTGAAGCCTCGCCTTGATTGCACTTATTTCTGTTTGACCACCATAGCCAGAGTAGTGTGCATATGGTCAGCTTCTTTTCAATCTCTGCTCTCAAAATCTCCTCGATAACCCCTTCAGCTTCAGTGCATCCTGCAAGTTTACATCTCCATTCCTCTAGTTGAAGGGCTCTCCATAGAGCTTTAACCTTTTTGCATCTGAAAAATAAGTGCCCCCCATCCTCATTTAATCGGAGACATACAGGGCAGATGGGTTCAACATGCACTCCTCGACAGATTAACTTCGTTCTTAGTGGAAGGCTATTTGAAGCTAGCCTCCATAGGAAGTGGATAATTTTGTTTGGCAAGGGAAGCGACCACAACCTTTTCCATGATGGGTTAGAATTGTTCCTGTTATCTCCTGAGCTGCTAGGAATGCCTCTCCTGGACTCCAATGCTTCTGAATCCCTAGCTACTCTGTAAGCAGACTTCACTGAGAAGATTCCTCTTTTATCAAAGTGCCATGCAGGGGAAATCCTCTTGGTTTTCATGGATGGGGATTTTTAGTATCTCATTAACATCATCCTGGTTGAGAGTTTGATTTAGGAGTCCTTCATCCCATGAGTTTGTCGCTGGATTGATGAGTTCCTCCACTTTGGTGATTAAGTGGTTCCTGCCCCGCACCGAAGAAACTCTCCTGGACGCGCCCCTAGGGATCCAAGGGTCCTTCCATATGTTGATTTGTCTTCCATCCCCCACCCTCCAAATGACGCCTTTATTGAGCATCTTAATACCTTTTAAGATGCTTCTCCAAGCGTACGATATCCCGTTCCTGCTTTTCGCTCTCAAAAGTTGGCCATCTGGGAAGTATTTTGCTGAAAGTACTCTTGCACAAAGCGAATTAGGGAATTGAAGAAGCCTCCATGCTTGTCTAGCTAACATGGCCAGGTTAAAAGAATGGAGATTTCTGAATCCTAGACCTCCGACACTTTTCGGCAAAGATAGTCTTTCCCAATTGACCCAATGAATCTTGTTTTTCTTGTCCACTTGGCTCCACCAATATTGACAGATCATAGTGCTTAAATCGTCACAGAACGTCTTAGTCAAGTCAAAGCATGACATTACATACACAGGAATAGCTTGGGCCACTGCCTTAATGAGCACCTCTTTGCCCGCTTTTGACAAGAGTTTCTCATTTTCACCCTGGATTTTCTTCCAGATCCTCTCTCTAATATAGGCAAAGGTTTTCGACTTCGATTTACCAATATAGACTGGTAGTCCCATATACTCCCTGAATGCCCTTCAGCATTAATATTCAAGGTAGATTTCACCTCCTCTCTCTGCTCTTTTCCTGTGTTTTTGCTGAACAGGATTGATTATTTCTCCTTGTTAATTGTTTGTCCCGAGCATCTCTCATAGGCATCCAGAATATTTTGTACTTCTCTTGCATTCACCTCATTTGCCTCCATGAGTAGCAAGGAGTCATCTGCAAATAAAAGGTGGCTTACACTTGGAGCATCCCTACATACTTTGATTCCTCTAAGCCTCCCTTCTCTTTCCGCTTCATGTAGCATTGAGGAGAAACCATCTGCACAGATTAAAAAGAGACGGGGGTGGGGGCGGCTGGTTTTGTTTAATTGCTGGGTTTTTTAAGCGGAAAGGAGGGCATCAGCGTGGGATCGTTGGATAAGCGCCACGTACCACGGAGCATGGATGGCAGTATTTTCGCGGAGCAG